AAGCAAACAACCTGTTCCACATCCTATTACCAGACTGACATGTGATTTTAGCCCCCAACATAAGCCTATGTCTGGAGTCTTGACTGTGGGGACTCTCAGTAGCAATACTATGAAAGTGAACAGTGACAACAGGGTCATTGTAACTTGTTTTGTGCCGGACACTGTTCTAGGATGCCTGCGTGTATGTGTTCCTATACCCACATACGCACCATATGAGAAAGGTACTGGAGTCACCCCGTTTTACAGATAAGTAACTTGTCCAAGGTCACAGCGCTAAGAAGTGGTGGAACCAACATTTGAATGCTGGCAGTTGGGCTCCATAATTTTTGTACTTCATTAGCCCCACATTATATCGCTTCCACTATATTACAGAAGGATTAACTAGCTTCAGAAGAAGAAACTGGTGTCAGGGCTCTGGAATATGCACTCAGAGATCTGCATCTATGACTATACTGTCACTGTCTGTGACAGGGTGGAATACAGGTCAGAGCCAAAACAGGCATGGGGCAAGCCCAGAACTGGCCCTGGTGGTCCATGGCTCAAAAAATCCATGATAAAACTGAAGTGGGCCCTTAGCTTGTCACCTATGGTGCGCACTGTCAGGAAAGTGGCCACGACAGTGGGGCCTCGGCCTTGTGAAACTGATTTATTCAACCGTGGTTTTCCTGATCTTTAAAAATGTGAGAAAAACTACAGGTTTACTCATTAAAGTATCCGAAACAGAACTCCAAGTACACTTTTAATGATCTTTTTAAAAAAGAATGGTTCTACAGATGAAAACTTTTCCTTTCATTCAAGTTTACCATTTGGTTTCTGAAACTCTAAAACCTACTGTTACTTTCATCTTCAGCTGAACATAAAATTCTGCCAAGAAACTGCAATTAACTTCAGTTAAAACAGAACTTTCTCTTGGAAAACTAAAACACCACCTACTATATGTCACCAAAATACAAGCAATATTTGGCTACATAAAAGTCAACAAATAGCCCCCTTTCAATGTTGTAACTACATCCTTCTACTTAAGAAACAACAGGGCCCTAACTGGCGTAGCTCAGTGGAGTGAGTGCCAACCTGCGGACTGAAAGCTCGCCAGTTCCATCCCCAGTCAGGACACATGCCTGGGCTGCAGGCCACGTCCGCAGTGTGCGAGAGGCAACTGATAGAAGTATCTCTCACACACTGACATTCTTCTCCTTCTCTTTCTCCCTCCCTTCCCCTCTCTCTAAAAGCAAGCAAATAAAATCTGAAAACAACAAAGACAAAAAACAATAGGGGTACATCTGGTCCTTCACTGGAGTAGCCCAACATTTCAATGTAGAGTATTTTTTATCATGAATCTAGTTTGTTATGCTGGAATTGTGTTCAATTATAAAACAAATTCTCTATATAGGAAAACTAGTAGTTGCTGTAGTAAGATTACTGTTTGTGACAGTTAAAAGGCTTTCCAGTGGCTCTCATCTTCATGTTTCTTACTGTTTCATATCATAACAACGTGTTCTGGAATACAGAGACTTAAATCATATCACAAAAAAATATTTAGATGAGTTAATGAAATAAGGCCAAGACTAACCAGTTCTGCCCACAGCAAAGGTTCCCGTCATTCGATTAACTCATGTTACTAAATACACATGCAGACGTCAACGGTGAACACACTATTAAAAGTGTGTTCAGACGAAGCTGAGATGCCCAGATATTCACAGTGTTTTGTCTCACAAATTCATAATAAATGTACGTTGAGTTGAATTAAAATCTCTATAAAAATACATGATGTTGCCCTGGCTGGTGTGGCTCAGTGGACTGAGCTCCGGCCTGCAAACTGAAGGGTCACTGGTTTGATTCCCAGTCAGAGCATGTGCCTGGCTTGTGGGCCAGGTGCCCAGGTGGGGGCATGTGAGAGGCAACTACACATTGATATTTCTCTCCCTCTTTCTCCTTCCCTTCTCCTCTGTCTAAAAATGAAATAAATAAAATCTTTAAAATATACATATATATGAGATGTTATTTGTTACTATTTCTTATGATCAAATTCTAAATACTGATTTAAAACAAAGAATCACTTATTTAGAAATTGGACGAAGGATAAGCGAGCGGGGAGGTGAACTCTTCTCAGGAACACTTGGATTTTCCAGACATCTACTCTCACTTCGACTGGGGTGCATCTGATGTGCTTCCTGTTCGGTAGAGACATAGCAATCAGGTCACTGGCCGGCACAAAAGAAAGTGCACACAGCATGTCATTTGGAAAAATACTAGAGTCTGGGAGCCCTTAAAGAAACTGGTGCACAAAATAAGGCTCGTTATTACTTACAGATAAGTGATTGATATTATTAGTAAGTATGGCAGGGGAGAATAATGGGGGGAAATGTGGATAACTGTTAATTGAAAAACAATAAAAAATATGTATACTAAATAAAAAATGCAGCATAGGGGATACAGTCAATAATAGTGTAGTAACTATATATGGAGCCAGGTAAATTCTAGAATTAGTAGGGGAATCACTTTCTAAATGTACAAATGTCTAACCACTATGCTCTACACCTAAAACTAATTAAAATATTAAATGTCAACTGTCATTGAAAAATGAAATAAAAAATTGCCCCCCTCCCAAAGTATGTGTGGTGGTTTTTAAAAAGCAAAGTCAAGAAACTGTCTCAGTTTCTTTACCCAGGAAAGTAAAACAGCCTGTACATTTTCTTAAGCGCTGAGGGAAGGAGGTGAGGACAGGCACATCACCAGAAAACCAATGCGCAGTCCCTGCTTTGCGACAGGGCCACCGGGCTCATGCAGTGTGAGCCACAGTCAGGAAGCTAGGCAAGGCTTCCCCCTTCGGGAAGCAGCCACGGATACCTCCCAAGCCCTGGGGACTTCCACTAGGTACCTGCTAACTTCTGGGCGCTTGCTCAGATGGTGAGAATATAGAGATAAAATGTGATCTCTGACCTCCAAAAACTAAAAGTTTAGTGGAAGGACAGAGTTTTTATTTACTGTGGTCTAACATGATAAATGCTATAATGAAAGTGTGAACCAAGAACTATAGGAAAACAGAGAAGGAATGGCTAACCCCCCTCCTATCATGGAGGAAAAATGACTTGATTTGAACATTTTGTAAACTTTGATTGGTAGGGTTAGGGTTCTAAAACACCATTTTGGGGGAAGACTCTAAAGATGAAAAATACAAGTTAAGAACCCTGAAATACTTTCTGAATGTATAAGGGTGAAGGAGGAAGGGGATTAATCTCTGAAAATGGTTTTTAAACTTCGCTTCCTCAGGACTGCACGGGGCTGCCCACTGTTCTCAGGGACCAGGGTGGCAAATGCACTCCAGGCCAGCGGCAGCCTTAGAGGGCGCCTTTATTCCCCTCAACTCTCCAAAAGCCTTTCCCCATCCCAGCCCAAATTAAACGCGTAATCCAAGGAAAAGGGGTGTGGTTGCTACCCAATTAGATTCAACAGAGGACCCCTAGTACGAACCAACTGGTCATTAACTGGAAATGATGGGCATTTAAAGTTTTTGATTCACAGCGGTATCAAGGCTTCCCTCCCAGAATGCTGCCTGGGAGCCCTTATCCCCACGTCCTCATGTGGTGGGTAATGCCAGCAAAATCTTCTGCAAGACTGAAGCATAGAGTTTTGGTACCACTCCCTCTTCACCCTATGAAGGTACATGATCTCCCTTCAATAAATTTAACCAATCCCCACTGTCCATTAGAAAATTAAAGTTCATTTATTTCACGTTAATGAGTAAGAAAAGTAAAGTTCAGGTAATTCAAAAAGGGTTAAGCACATCAGAGACTCCTATTTCATTTTTATTCGTAAAGAAACAATCTTAGAAGGTGTCACGTGACTTTAAAACAGGACAGAAACCTTTCCCTGATTTACGCAGACACAGTGATGAACGAAAAGAATTATCCAAAAATGTCATACATTATAAGATTTAAGTCCTTTATGAAATAATACAAAATGACCCACAATTTTTAAGTTGTGGTAAAAACCATGTAAAACGTACCGTGGTCACCAGTGGTGAGTGCACCATTCAGCAGTGACACGGTGCCGGCCGCTTGCACTGCTGTGCAAGGCCTCTCGGGACGCTCCCACCCTGCAGAACTGAAACTCCGGGCCACTAAGTAACTCCTCCCACCCACCGCCCCTCCCCCAGCTGCGACAGCGCCCTCCTACTTTCTGCTTCTGTAAACCTGACTGCTCGTGATACCTCATATGAGTGGAATCATACAGTATTTATCTTTTTGCGACTGGCTCATTTTCACTTAGCACAATGTCCTGAAGGTTCATTCATGTCCTAGCTACATTTCGGAATTTCCGTCCTTTTTGAGGCTAACACTCCACTGCATATACTATCTTTTGTTTGTCCACCTGTCACTGGCCCCCTGGACGGCGTCTACCCCCTCGGCTGTTAAGGACGGAGCTGCTACGAACGCAGCTGGGGAAACGTGGTGTTCAGACTCCATGGCGTTCAGACTCCGTGGCAGGCAGAACTGGAACTGCTGGGTCCTACAGTGATTCTCTGCTCAATTTTTTTGCGGAACCTCCACAATACTTTCCTTCATGAACCATTTTACACCCCAAAGTGGTTTTTCATTTGTAGCCCAAGTAAATAAACTATAAAAATTAAAATCATTTAAAAACTCGTATTTTGAGGAAAACTGACACCAACAAAACTCCACAGCTTTAGATTGCCTGAGACACAAAACCCTGCCCTACCGACTATTTAAATGCCAGGCAGGGTTACTGTCTGGTACTTGTTGATTAATCAGACACTTGTTGGTTTTAAAGATTATACACCTTAAAAATTCTTTCCTGTCATTTATTATCCTACTGGAGATACCACCAAATCAGTGTCAAGTTAAGAAAAAGTTCTTTAAGAATGAAGTTTTCAGGATTAAAAATATGAAGATACATACACACAAACTTACATATACATGATGTATATAGGAATAGATACACAGATATTCCTATTATCAATGACCAGAAGAGAAAGTTACCTGATGATTTCTTCATGATACAGAGAACTAACAACTGGTCCGCCAAATCCAGTACCTGCTTCTTTTCCTTTCTTCTCTGGCGTCTGTGAGGGGAGGGGTAGAAAAACGACACATGGATTAGAGCAGTGTGTATTTAAACCAGTTACCAAATACTACTTTGCTAAGGAATACTCAAAGTTTGACTGTTCACCATTTCTCCACAGCACTAGTCACAGGTTCAAGATGGCACCAGAAAGGCAAGGGGACTCTTGGGTCATCAAAGCAGTGGAATGAGTATCCACCAGCAAACTAAGGTCGTTCCACAAGGTCATTCCACAACTGCTTCCGGAGTCACCTAAACAACACTCCCCTAGCTGATTACAAGAGCTTAGCTATGTTCGCTATAGAAAATACGGCTGGTCTGTGTGGAACAATGAAAACAAAATATGAGATGTAAATACCAGATATAAAAGGTGATCAAGAAAATCATACCCACATTAACAAAATTAAAGTTCCCCCAAAAGAAAGGAACTAAATTAAACTATAGTAAAACTTCAAATTCAATCATAAAGAAAATATTTTTAGGTGGTGAGAAGGAAGGAGAAGGTGGAAGGGAGAGAGGAAAAGAACCCTGGAATAAAAGGAAGAAAAAAAACCCAACTTATGGCAACGCTTTCCAAAATCGAGTATTCACCAGGTCCTGCCCCTTGATATTCTCAAAAAGCACAAGATGATGATGAAATTTAGAAGATCCTCCCAAAACCCATAACGTGGAAGCAGGGGACCTGGATGTTGCTCCTGTCTGAGAAGCTTCAACTGCAACCTCTGCAGAGCCCACACGTCCTGCAGCACTGATGGTCTCGAAACCCTTACTGAGGACCAACTGGCCTCAGCAGTGTGGGTTTATGTTTAGACTCAGTGCGCTACTGTACTGGCCCATCCTCACGCTGGCACCACATCATTACTATTACAGCAGCTTTGCAGCAAGTTTTGAAATTGCAAGTGTGAATCCTCCAACTTTGTTCTTTTTCAATAGTGTTTTGACTATTTGGGGCCTTTTCTGCACGTCCATCTGAATCTGAGGATTGGCTTTCTCACTCCTGCAGAAATGGCAGTTAAAAATTGATTTGAGAGAAACTGCATTGACTCTGTAGGTCACTTTGGCTTGTATTACCATCTTAACAATGTAAAACCTGACAGTCTATGAACATGGGACGTCTTTCCACTTATTTAGGTCTTCCTTAATTTGTTTCAGCAATGGTTTAGTGTGCAGTTTTCAGTATAAAATCTTTCACCTCCTTGGTTTACATTATTTCTAGGTATTTTATTCTTTGGGATGTTATTGTAAATGAAATTTTTTTTAGTTCCCACTCTGGGGTGCTCGTTGCAGGTATATAGAAACACAACTGATGTTCGCATGTTGCTCTCGCATCTTGCAAATCTGCTGAACTCATTTATTCACACAAGTGGTTTTTGCAACAATTTTTTGGATTTTCTACATGTAGGATGATGTTATCTGTCAAAAGAGCTAGTTTTACTTTTTCCTTTCCAATATGGGTGCTAAACTTCTTTTCCTTGTCTAATTGCTCTGGCTAGAATTTACAAGTCCAATGTTGAATAGCAGTGGTGAAATCAGGCATTGTCCTATTACTGATCTTAAGGGAAAAGCTTTTGGTCTCTCACAATTGAATGTCACGTCACTTGTGCTTTCTTATAAATGACCATTATCATGGTAAACAGATTTTGCCTTCATTTTTGAGAGCTATCTTAAATGGTATAGAATTATGAGTTGACAGGGTTTTTTGTTTTTTTTCCCCCCTTTTGACTTTACTCCTACTGATTTCAGGCTTCAGAAAAGCTTGCTGTACTTTTACCTTGGTTCCTCTGTATCATTTTGGGAGGTGAGGGGATCTGGATGCTTTTTAGATTTTCACTGGTTTTCACCAATTGATTATGATGTGACTTGGTGCTTCTTCTGCTTGGGGTTCATTGAGCTTCTTGGATCTATGGGTCAATGGCAGTGATTATCAACTAGGGAAGGTTGTTGTCCCCTTTTTTCCCCCAAGGTACTGGGCAATGTCTGGGGTCAGTTGTCGCAAATGGGCGGTCCCACTGGCATCTAGTGAGTAGACAATGGAGTTACTGCTAACCATCCTACAACGTACGGTTCAGCCTCCACAATAAAGAATTATCGAGTCCCAAATGTCAATGATGAAACACTCTGATTTGTAGTTTTAGTCAAATATTTACGATTTCAGTTATCGTTAATTACATTTTTATTTATTGTCTCTTTCTCGTGCCTTTTCTCTTTTGGGACTCCAATATGAGACATTGCTTGGTATTTTCCCACAGCTCACTGGGGCTCTGTTCATTTCTCATTCAATCTTTTTTTGCTCTGTGTTTGATTTTTATTAGTTTCACCTGCTGCATATTCAAGTTCACTAATCTCTTCTGATGCAAAGTCTAACATGCTGTTAATCCTACCCAGTGTATTTTCTCATATCAAATATTATTTTTTTCCTTTATAGAAGTTCCATTTGGGTCTTTTTGGGTCTTCCCATTTCTCCATTATGGTCATGTTTTTCTCTACTTTCATGAGTATATAGAATATATTTATGATAACTTTTCATCTCTATTATTTCTGCTTTCACTGACAGCTTTTCTTCTCTTGGTTTTGGGTCATATTTTCCTGCTGTCCTTGAATGCTTGGAAGATGTTTACTGTAAGCCAGAGAGTGTAAATTTTACACTCTAGTTTGGTGATTTCGTTGTGTTCCTCTAAATTATGGTAGACTTTGTTTTGACATGAATTCTGTTATGTGGAATCAATCTGACCCTTTCAGGACTCACTGTAAAGCTCTGTTATGGCAGAGCAGCCTTTAACATGCTGCTTAATTCAGCCTCTCCGCTGAGTTGCAATCCTTTGGAGGCCGCTGCCACAGGCCCCATGTATTACATTTTCTTTCCACTCGGAGTAGCAGGAAACAAAATACTCTCAGTCCTGCGTCAGCTCCAAGAACTGTTTGGCCTCCTGCTCTCTCGTATTTCTTTTCCTGGCCTGTTAGTTCCTTTCTCTCTCTCTCTCTCTCTCTCTCTCTCTCTCTCTCACACACACACACACACACACACACACACACACACACACACATTAGTGTTTAGTCCCAGGGACCCCTGAGCAGATCTCTGGACCACCCTCCCTCTGCAGGAACATCCCCCCTGGTACCTGGCCCCCTGTTTTCTAGCTCAGATCGGTGTCACGGCCATGCTCTTCTGATTGAACCTCCCTTCGCAGCAGCCTGAAAACTGCCGCCAGGCAGTAAGCTGAGGCGACCACTACACTCCTCTGCTTCCTTTGTCTCCTAGTTTCCCACTACTTTTAGTGCCATTTCTGAAAATTATTATTTCATCTATTGTGCTGAGTTTTCTTCTTGTTTTGGGCAAAAGGGTAAATCTCATCCCTATTACTCCATGCCCAGGAGCAGAAGTCCCACAAACATTAATTTAAAAGCCAGCATAACATTCCACGCAGGAATGCGCCATAATTTATTTAACCATTATCTGACAGTTGTCTATTTAGGTTATTTCCACTTTTCCTCTTAAAAAGATATGATGAATATCTGTGTACATCAGGCATAATACAGTTGTAATTAAAATCTTTAGGGAAAATATGACCCCATAATTTGATTACAGTGTATTCTAAATATATTTCTTCTTCCTGAGATTAATTCCTCTTTCTGAAGCAAAACCACACAGCATGTTAGGACGCTGCTGACGTTTTTTTTCTGGGGGTGGAGGGGAAGGGAAGATTATATCTTAAGCAGAAATTATATTTCAAAAAATATCTGCCATTATCAGATTGAATTCAGAATAAAGTTGCCAAAGACGCATTAGTTTCCGCCTCCACCCACTTCATCCGTAAGGAGGGGACTCTGGCTGCTGTGGTCTCTGGATTTCCACTCCAAGGAAACGCTTCTCATCAAGGCTTAAGCAGTTTATTTCATTTCTCTCTACTCAAAATCCATTAGGTTATTTTTATGTCGTGTCAGCAGTTACAGAAAGAGACTCCAGCCTGGCAGCCAGCAGGGTAAAATTTGCCAATTCTGACATTGCCTCAGACTGCATCATCTGAGACAATGAGATGCCCCTCCACTGGGAGGGGAAAGGATCCGTCTTTGGTTGGATCTTTACCATCTGGATTCGGACTCCACATCAGGAGCAGGGTCAAGATTTAAAACCTTGTGGAACTTTCTTTTCCACCTGAAAAATAAGTATTCCAAATGTTATCAAGCTAATATAGGCAAGGCAGGGTTTCTTCCTTCCATGTGCTACCTTTTTGGCTCCTGTTTTATTGCTTTATTTATTTATTTATTTTTGCTTAATTTGTTTATAGGTCTAGCTGTACAATGTTGAGTAATCTCTCTGCTTCAAATTCCTCATTTGTTTTATTTATTTATTTATTTATTTAAATTGATTATGCTGTTACAGTTGTTCTATTTCCCCCTTCATTCCCCTCCACCCTGCCCCCCCATCCCCACCATTACCCCCCTTTAGTTTATGTCCATGTGTCTCAAGTCCTTTAGGTTCTATATTTCCCATGCTATTCTTGCCCCCCCCATCTATTTTCTATCTACTGTCTATGCTACTTATTTTCTGTACCTTCTCCCCCCATCTCCTCCTCCCACTCCACTGTTGCTAACCCTCCCTGAGATCTTCATTTCTATATTTCCACTCCTGATCTAGCTGTTCTTTTAGTTTGCTTTCGTTTTAGGTGTGGTTGTTAATAACTGTGAGCTTGTTGTCCTTTCACTGTTCATGTTTCTTTAACTTCTTTTTCTTCGATAAGTCCCTTTAACATTTCATATAATAAGGGCTTGGTGACGATGAACTCCTTGAATTTGGTCTTATCTGAGAAGCACCTTATCTGTCCTTCCATTCTAAATGAAAGTTTTGCTGGGTAGAGCAATCTTGGTTGTAGGTCTTTAGATTTCATGACTTGGAATATTTCTTTCCAGCCCCTTCTTGCCTGTAAGGTCTCTTTTGAGAAATCTGCTGACAGTCTGATGGGGACTCCTTTGTAGGTGATTGTCCCCTTAGCTCTTGCTGCT